CACCGGGGACACCAAGGGCAGTTCTTAAGGACTCACAAGAATATACGAACGTTCATTCAAGTCGTACAAAGTGTTTTTATTACCAGGATGAGCCAATTAAGGATGGCCTTTCATGGCCCCATACTGAAAAAGTACCGTCGTGTAGTTTTAGTGACAGTGACCAGGATGTACCTCAGTGTGGGTGTCCTGTGGATGAGTGTCCGAACACCACAGGGACTCCTGTCAGTTTTCAAGGAAGGAAAGCGAAAAGAAAAAAACAATGGACTTCAAACTCAGATAGTTCAGACGAGATTAAGGGCATGTCAGTGCCGGAGATGTCTTCTGGTGAGATTTCGGATCTTGAGCCCCAGTTTATTCCGGATTTGACGAACGATTCTATGGAGTTCACGGACGAGGAGCGGTTTAAGAACGTCATCCTGCGATTCTCCGGGTCTTCTCTTGAAGAAGAGGTAAATTAACTCACTTAGGGTTAATACGCTTACCATTTGAATGAAACCTTTTCTGGAAAGCAGCAAAAACATAAACACGAATGACATGTTTTGCTAAGTAGCTTTCACTAAAATGGCCACAATTTTAGATCGTATCCACAGACTCAAAAGTCAGAACCACCTTTTGCAGCATAATAAACAGTACCACAGGAAAATACTGCTCAGTAGCTTTCATGTGAATGGTCACACCATAGGATTTCATTCACAGACTCAAAAGTTAGAACTACCTTGTACAGCATAATAAACAGTACCACAGGAAAGTACTGCTCAGTAGCTTTCATTTGAACGGTCACATCCTAGGATTTCATCCGTAGACTCAAATGTTAGAACCACCTTGTACAGCATAATAAACAGTACCACAGGAAAGTACTGCTCAGTAGCTTTCATTTGAATGGTCACACCATAGGATTTCATCCATAGACTCAAAAGTTAGAGCCGTTTACTCTACTCCAAGTTTGACGTAGCCTTTAATTGGGATTACAGTGGAGTTTTCCCTCTCGTTTTTTACGTTACTCACTTATGTTCGTACTTGTCTTTTTTATTCACAGTCTTGTGGTCAAGGAAATGAGAACATAAAGGCGAACAACAGTCGGTGATCAGAGGGGACCCTAATAATATAGTATAGTTTGTTACAAGGAATTATAGCAAGTTTACTGCTAGGCAAAGGATGGTCAACAAGATTTCACTAGAAATTTCGTTTAATACTAATATTATTATATGGTTGTTGAGAATTATTTTCCCGTCAAATAAATCATTAACAATAGTGTGGGATCCCACACGAGGAAGTGTATAATATTCATTTATTTATTTATGGTACAAAGTTTATTATAAATTATTGATTCGCTGCTGGGCAGCGGTTGTGAATATAAGTCAGGTACAATACTTGTAAAGATCTCCCCGCAAGCCAAACCAAAAATCCAAGAGTACATTCCAGATATTCGAGTAAAGTGTCGTTTAGTTTAACCTTGGTACTTGAAACACAATAGGAAAGAGAACTGTGACGTCAGGAAAAACTAAATTTGCGAAATTATGGAATTGGTTGGCATATCCAGAAAAAAAAACAAGATGAAAAATGTCCGCTCGCTAAAAATCAGCCGGTTGATACAAATTGGTGAGGAGATTTAAGTACTTTTATGCTCTTATGACTCCATATAAATCCATTAAAATATCGTTAACATTACGATCCGAGCAAATCTTAGAAGTGGTTTGTATAGATTCATCAGGGCATAGCGGTGCTTATATCTCCTCACCAATTTGGACTCTAACAGGCTGATTTTTGGCAAGGGTTCTTTTTTTGTTCCTGTTTTTTCTAAATATGCCAACCAATCCCATAATTTTACAAATTTGAATTTTTCTGACGTCACACTTCTCGCTTCTATAGCACGTAGTGTTCAGAGACCAAGTTTTCGTTATTGCTTAAGAATGGAGCGCTTTTAAGTATAGTTAGTAGAATATGCACGCGCCAGAATCTATACATTTCTTTGCTGCTTATTATTTTTAGCTTACATCTCCTTTCTAGGACTCGCAAGGTTTTGTGTAAATTTATGTAAATTATACTGCTCTTTATTCAAATAAAATGCTGGGCTTTTTGTTATTGCTTGTCACTTGTTGTTGTTCATCTATGAATATTTCTATGAATTACGAAAGTTCGAGGAGCACAAGATGATGTTAAGTCTCAGTCTAAATTCTTTTTTCTATTCGTGCTAAAGGCACGTGTCGAGGAAATAATCAGCCTCGTACCCGGGCCAGTTCGCGCTATCTGAGTTACCAGAGGAGGCTTGGAACCGAGCGAATTTTCCCAACAAGCTTGACAGGTGACGTCACATCTGAAATCGCCGAGGACGACTGGGAACGAGGTTAGGAAATAATAAAATCTTAGCGTCGCCATTTGGTTTTCCTTTTTAATGCACACCGTGACCAATAGAAGGTAAAATGATGTCATAAAATTAAAAAATGGCCGCATGTGGAGAAGAGGAGTGTGGAGGGTGAGGGACGCACAGACAACGTGTTCCTGAATACACTTTGATTTAAAACGTCGTTTTAACAAAAGGACTTAACTCACGACGAGGCAAAAATAAGAGGAAGGAGAAAGACCGGTAGACCTCTGCAGGAACTAGTCTGAACTTCAGACAACTACTTCGAGTCGTCTTCACTCCCTCAGTTGCTGAGAGGAGAAAACGACTCGAAGTATCTCGTCTGAACTCCAGGCTAGTAGAGAACATGTTACACGGCACTTGGTAGCCTGCGAGCAAGCTCTTTGGGGCTCTCTGGCTCTCAGAGCGCCCCGGAGAGCTTGCTCGCAGGTTAGGCACTTGGAGAAAGCATCTCGCCGGTGGGGACCGGAGCACATGCAATTTGGCTCTCTGCCCTCTAAGGGCCTGTTTACAAGGAGAGAGGGTTACCCTAGCAAGCGGGTTAAAGTTAGCTCTGGTTTACAAGCAAATTTCACAGGCATGGTTACCCTATCACTCGGGTCAACTTCACGAGCTTTACTGAAGTGTTTCGTGATGTGTGACATTCTTTGTAACGTCCAAGATTTGAAAACAAACTTGAAGTTCTCTATGGAAAACAGGCGCGGATTTAATAATATAATATAATAATAATATACAATATTTATAGAGCGCTAATTCCCAATGGTCCAAAAGCGCTTTACATAATAAAAATAACAACAAAATCCTAAACCTACAAAAACTACAAAACTACATTGTCATCCTATAAAAACATTATCATTCTATACGACAGCTATACGACAACATCATAACCAATTTTAAAAAGCCAAGTCTTGAGCTTAGATTTAAAAGAAGAAAGGGAATTACAAGAACTAAGTTCGAATGGAAGTGCATTCCAAACAGAAGGTGCAGCAATAGTGAAAGACCGGCCACCATAAGTTTTAAGATTAAATTTAGATGTAGAAAGTAAAAATTGATAAGAGGATCTAAGAAGTCTACCAGGTGTATAAGGCTTGATAAGATCAGTGATATAGCTAGGTGCAGCACCATGAAGTGCCTTAAATGTAATTACTGCAATTTTGAAAGTTATCCTTTGTTCAATTGGTAGCCAAGGAAGTTGAATAAGCAACGGCGTAACATGCTCATATCTACTAGTAAGGTGAATAAGCCTAGCAGCACTATTTAGGACACTCTGTAAACGTTTCAAGATACATTTAGGCTGAAAAGGCATGAATTAGAGTTTTACATGTATCGTAAGAAAGAAACTTGCGAATCTTAAAAATATTGCGTAAATGAAAAAACGAAGACTTGCAAACAGCAGTAACGTGCGGCAACATCGATAGAGAGTTATTAAACCCCAACCCAATATTTTTAGCAGTAGTTGAACAGTCAACAGTGTCATGCAGAGGCAATCACCAGGTTTTTTAACGCAGGACGTGGGCGATAGGAGGATGAAAAAACTATAATTTTAGGATGAATACTGGCCGATTTCCTAAATGAGCGCCGGAGGCGCAAGCTTCCCCCGGGGCATGCTCCGGCAGGAAATTGTTGGTTTTTACATGACGTCACTAAAATTCAAACTACAAAACTATCGATCCTACTGAAGTTTTACTTTCATGATGTATTAGAGCGGCTGAAAACTATTTTCATAACAAATTTCGCTTCGAAAGGGTTATTGGTTTTGTGGTAAACTACGACTGAATTTCTAAGCTTTTGAGTGAAGCAGCATTTACATGACGGCCGAGAGAGCTGTAATGTAGGTTAAAAAAGTGACTTATTCCGGAGAATTTTGTTATCTAAACAGTTCATGTATTAGAAAAACTGTTACTTTAATGTTTATGAGTTCCTCGAGGAATTAATTCACGCTTTTGTAGTAAAACTCGGTAACAAATGTTTCATTTGGTTTCCGTCCGCCATATTGGTGCCCATCCAGGTGGGCACCACCATGGCGTCTCCATTATTGAGTAAAACATTTCTTCGAATTTCTCGTATACGAAATATTCCTCTGACCTGAATCTTGGCCAGGGTCTTTGTATATGTACCTCCTTTCATTTCCCAGATTCTGGACTTTATCTATTGAACAGTTTTGATTTTTATTTTGATCTATTTTGAATGTCGTGACACTGAAAACCAGCAGTTTTTTGGATTTTAACTCCTGAAAGTCCCCTTTCCTGGGTTTCCGAGTCATTCAGAAATTGTTTTTTTATTATTTTATTATTTTAATTGTTTATTCTGACCGATTTCCGTAAAACGGTGAAAGCCGGGGTGGATCCGTGCCTAGAAAACATGTTAAATTCACGAAAAAACGGGGACATATTATCACCGTAGTTGTCATATGTCGGGAAAACCCCAGACGATCGGGGATTTGACTGTTTCCCGACTGCCTCAGATTTCGCCGACTAATTAATGAAAACTCGAAATCGTAGATATCCCCGATCATTCCCGACAAATGAAAACTCAAATTTGTACCGTCGGGTACGTCGGCGATGGATTTCGCTCATTCGGCAATCCTAGGAGCCACAGGAGGCTCTGGGGACGAAAGTAACTAATTTCCGCCCAGTTAATTCCTTTCGTTCTCTTTCATTGCTCAGATTGCGGAACTCAAAGTCTGGTGCAAAGCTAGCTTTATCCTTTTTCTTTAATTTACGAGGTAAGTTTTGTAGTTCTCAACCTTTCAATCACACACTACTACTGATTAACTGATGTTTTTTACTTAATCGTGCTGTAGTTAATGTCAGAGATGTAAGGGAGCTCATGCTTGTTGTTGGGACCGCCAAGGAAAGTCACAGCACTAGTTGACGTGGTACTTCTGTACTTCCTTCTGGTATATTATCTGCGAAGCCTTCGAACCTAAGGTTGCCATTATTTCGCACGTTTAAATTTGAGCAACTACTCCTGTTTTAAAGGGGGTTCTGTTTTATAGCTTTTGAACGCAAGAAATTGTTTCTAAAAGGGGCTTTCTTCATCTGCATGCTGATGAAAATGAACTCAACGTTATGTACTCTTTGAGGGCAAACCCGTGGTGGGGTTGTAGTCTGTACAAAAGAAAAACGAAAACCCGCTCAAACCGTAAAAGCGCAATAGATTTTGGTCAAAATCGAAACCGAAGGACATATTACGGAAGACACAATCACACCATCCAGAATTTAATTGCGTGACCTACTATGACAATGAGCGACTTACAACAAATTTAACTGTTGTGAAAGTGACCTCCCCGTCTGATTACTGTGTTTATATGGGAAAAATAAAAAAATGGAAAAAATATTGCTTTATGTTGGCTTCTTTACCGCAAAAGTAAATTTATTTTAGTTCTTTGCTACACGATAAGGCAAGATAAAGTAAATACTTTCCCGACAATCGGCAAATTCATTTCGAGATCGGATCTCGATACGTTTACCAGTCCGGAATATCCCTAAATTTAAGGACAGGGCGAACTAGTCACGCGTCACTGTTCAACCAATGAGAAGGCGCGCTTGTGTTAATCAAAACATCAACGGAGTTATCAAAAATTTTTCCGACAATGGCGGACGGAGGCGGACAGATTTTAACATAAGCTTACAGTACTCGTCTAGGTTTCATATTATTTCAAAGAAAACATGTGACGTAAGAGAATAAGAGTATTATTCATTGCAAGGAATTTTGGGGGTGTTCGAATATTCCGGACCGATCGCAGAGGTTGTGGCTTCACTGGACTGGCATGGCTTGCAAGATTTTTGATACAAGCAAACCGTCCCCGTGTAAAAGTAGCCGTAGAGAGTCAGTGTATGAAAATTTTTTTTTGAGATCGTACAAAACAGGAGTGGTACCACCTACAGCCAAGGACAAGAATCAAAGAGGCCAGTCATCATAACAAGAATAAAAAGTCGTTCAAATTTATTCATTTTTCTTGTTTGTTTGTTTTTTTTGTGTGTGTTGTTTCGTGTTGACTTCACGCATCTGGTGCTTTCTTTGCTTACTGTGGTACCTGCAAGGTTTTAATTGTAACTCAGATTTTCAGTGTTTAATGAGTTGCGAAATACATCATTTACAGTTAAAATTTGCCTTCTTTCTTTGATTTTTTTTATCTGTGGGTGAGAATTTGGAGAATTCAACAGTAATAAATTTTTCCACATTTGGTGAATTTCAAAAACAAGGCGGTTAGTATCTATCTTGTGCTTATGATCTTTAAATTCGGAAAAGTGAGCTGAGATGTTGAACGTGAGTATCCATAAGACTAAACGTTTACGTTGTAAATAAAAAAGCAGAGGCTCGTATTAATGGGCAAAAAAAGAGTAATAACACGGCTCTGCCTAGCCTGCGAACCGCAGACGTATTTCTGGTCGTCGGTTTTTCTCGGCGAGTGAAACTAGTAATTGGAGCCGAAAAAAGCGAATGCTCTCGCAGGCTAGGCTCTGCCATGTCTGCGTGAAACCCGAAAGCGGAACACGTGTTTTGGACCTCGGAATTCAAAAATTGTCTACCAAAATTCTAGGTTGTCTACCATTCCCACATTCAACATGATAAAAGTTAATCGAAATGACAATCGAGGAAAAATATCTAGAACTTCGTCAAAAATCCTCGACTACAAAAAATAATAGATACTTGTTCACCTACCTTGCAAACCGACCAAAATCTCGCCTACATCGCGTTGTTTAAAAGAAGAAATAAGCCACAAAATGTGCTGAATATTTGACGAGGCACTCCCAATATGGCTTCCGATACGCCACTTAAAAAATTGCTACCCACTTAAAAAATAGTGCACGCCTTATGAAAAGTCTTCGAAATATGCTTGAGAGCCTCGAAACGGTGATAAGTGCTTGTTTTTTCCAAAAGAAAGCACTTTCTTTCTTTCACGAAAGAAAGCGCCTTCTTTTCCAAAACTTGATATGCGAATTCCCTTTATCTTTGGTCGGTGTTCGCATCTATTGAATGAGAATGTCTCTGAAGCTATCGTGTGGCGCTCTTTTCAATGCCATCCTCAAAAGATGGTGGGATGAGTAGCATTCAGGATGTTTCTCTTCACTTTATGTTTAAGTTTAAACCGTTTCATAAGTGTTTTCTCTCCCAAAATGTGAATGTAAAGCTCTCTCCGTTTAATTGTCATTGCAGTAAGCCTTTTGCATTACTTGGTCACGTGATCAACTTTCGGTAAACACGAAAACAGTTCGCTTTTAAAGCACGAGCTGAACTAGTAATAATTGCAAATTACGGGAGCTGAGGTCACCTGAGGTGAGGTCTAAATTTTCCATTTAGTTTGTCTAGAAACGAGCGTGAATTGAAATTGAATGTAACAGCTGTAAATAGTAAACACCGATCTTATATACACAACTAAAGATCAAGTTTGCGGTGAACTTGCATTAGGCACGATTTGTAGCCCGCAGAACACCCGTTATTTTTCCGAATTTTTCAGCCGGGGGAGAGAAGGGAAGCGCTTGCCTTCTCCCGCATGAAAAATGCGAGAAAAAATGGGCGTCGATAAAACCCGGAACACGGAACATTCCGGAACATGCAATAAAAATAATTTTCATGAAAAAATATATAATAATAATAATCATAAAATAATTTTTGTAAAAACTAATAATAACATAAAATAACAAAAAACCGAAAAAGAAAGAAAAAATAAAGAAAAAGAAACTCGTATCATCTCCGGGTACGAGAAAACAATATTTTGTCGCAAATAATTTGTGGGGCGAGGGTCCATGCAAATGACAATAATGAGTGAAGGTCTACTTCTAAATTCAAAATATATTCCAATGGGTCGCGAAGAGGGGGATTCACTTCAACCTTTCCACACTCAGCCACCCCAGCCTTGTGATTGTTTGCCATGCGGTTTAACGGTTATCCAATACGGCTTTGCGACCGTAAGCCGGTGAAGAGCTTAGGTGAAGAGCTTACTTTTAGTTTTTCATGTTCCGGCATGTTCCGGCATGTTCCGGAATGTTCCGTGTTCAGGGTTTTATCAACGCCCGAGAAAAATAACGCCTGTTCTCTAGGATACACGAGCTAGAATATTTCATTCGTAGTTTACCCTGAAAACGCTACGCAGATGTATTAATTTTTAACATGCATTCAATATCGAGTTTGGGACACCTATGATGCAAATCCCTTCGACTTCATGCCAAAACCAAGAATTTCATAATTTAAGTTAAACGCGAACTAAACACCCATTGCGGCGAAAATTATTTTTAAACAGTTCAGCTATGAAGTAATCGGCAATAAAGACATGACTTCGGGCGTAATTATAATCTTGATTATAGTTCTGAATATATAACAGTTTTTGCTTTTCGGCTAAAGTAGCCATTATAAAAACTAAGAGTGCAACCATTGCTTTTTTCTCTTCTCCTCCTTTCTTCTTCCTCCTCGTTCTTTCTTTTTCTCCTTTCCTTTTCCTTCGTTACTATGATTTTGGATCTTATCGGGCCCAAAAAACCTGCCTTTTGAGGCCTTTTCAAGCATATGACTGCAAATTTCTTTAGGTTGGTTTTCAAAAAATCGGCTAGATATAGATAGGTCCTTTCCCCTATAATTCCCAGTATCAGGACCAACTCCCTCCCTTCCACTCAGTACATGTACCACCACTAGATCCCTAGCGGAATGGATGGATAATAGGGAGCTTGAGAAATCAAGACGACAGCGACAGCGTCAAAAAACAATTGGTTTTTATGAACAAAACAACAGCTCTGCACGTGCATCACGTTTTTTAGTACATTTTTTGACGTCCACTGCACGACTACGACCTAAAACCATCTAATGCGACTTTTTATACTGGACGTAAACATACGACGACGAATTTTCCTTTCTCTTTTTGAACCTGCTGGATAAAGTCCTTTAAGCAGTTCAACTCCGGTGAAAATCACATACATTTGACAATGTGGAATGATCCAAATAGATGCGATAAAATTTGAAAGAACGCAAATTCGTTTTTTGGCGACGTGTTTACTGCCGTCGTCGTCGTCGTTGTTTTAGTTCAATAATATTGTCTGCGCATGCCCAAGATAAACCAATCACGGGAGTCTGCTCTTGTGTATTTACAGGCGTCTCAAGCATGGCCTACAGTGGTGAAGTCTTAAGGTACAACAGTTATGGTGGGAAATATGAAGTTCCAAGGAAACTTGTATCCTCCCTCGACGAACTTGAAAGCGGAGATCATATCGCCTTTCATCGGACTGGTGGTCGTTACTGGCATCACGCTATAGTAGAAGATGTTAACAAAAGAAGAAGCGAATTTTGTCTTATCGAGTATTCTAACGATGCTTCAGGGTTTTTGATGGATAACTTCTGCTCTCCGAGGAATCCAGGAATAGCTAAGGTGGTGAGAAAAACTTATCGATTCAGCAAAGGTACCATGGTATACCTGATGCTACACGAATGTTGCCATCCGGCTGATACTGTCGTAGAGAATGCGCGAAGTAAGATTGGGGAAAATAAGTACAGCCCTTTTACCAATAACTGCGAACACTTTGCCATGTGGTGTAAAACAGGAACATCATCTTCCGACCAAGTTAACAAGGCTGCTCAAATGGTCGGTAAAGACATCGGGCAAGAGGTTGCAGGCAGAGCAGCTCGAGCAACGGCAGAACACGTCGGACGAACTGTTTCAAATGTTGTAACCCGTGCTGCAAACGAAATTCCGATTGCATATAATCATGTAACTGAAGGAATTGTAGGAGCAGCTGCAAATCTTCAGAAAGCTGGTGGTGAGTTACTCGCAAACATGCCACCGCTGCGTCTTCCTTCAGGAGGTGAAATGGCTGCAAATCTTCCGACAATGAAAATTGGGAGCAGAATTGTAGGAGCAGCTACAAATCTTCAGAAAGCTGGTGGTGCGTTATTCGCAAAAATGCCACCGCTGCGTCTGCCCACAGGAGGTGGACTACCGCCACTTTTGTCCTCAGGAGCTGGAAGGGCTGCAAAACTTATATCCCGAGGTGGACAAGCGATCACGAGAACTGGGATTGGAGGAGTTCTTGCTGCAGGAGTACTTCCAGCGATTGTTGAGGGTATGTCAGTGAATAATGATCTTAAAAATCTACGAAGAGATCGGGATGAAGACAGAATAGACGGAAAAGAATATGACAAAACTGTTACGAAACGAATTGTGACTGGCGCAGGTTACATAACGGGAGCTACTGCAGGAACCCTTATCGGGCAAGCGCTCATTCCTGTTCCAGTTGTGGGAGCCGCTGTAGGAGGCGTGGTTGGTGGCATAGCAGGACGATATTTTGGAAATATTGGGGGAAGTCTAGCTTTCGACAAAAAAGATGGTGATGGTGCTAATTATGCAGAGAACAGTAAAGAGGACAGCGAAGAAGACCTTGGAGGTGGTGGCCAGTATTACTGCGATGGTGGTCCTGACTACGTCGAGGAGAGTGATGAGGACAATGAAGACGTCCTTGGAGATGCTGGTTATTACAGTCTCTGTGGTAGGGCTGATTATGCCGACAACGATGACGTCGAAGACGAAGAGGACAACTTCCCTTAAAAAGATGGTGGTGCTGACGACTACGTCGGGGAGAGTGACGAAGACGACGAAGAGGGCCTTGGAGGTGGTGGTTATTACAGTCACTTTAGTAGGGCTGATTATGCCGACAGCAATTACGTCGAAGACAACGAAGACGAAGAAGTGTTGCTTTTTACTACTGATTCTGCCGATGATCATGAGAGTGACAAAGACAGCGAAGACGACCTTGGTAAGTCGGCTGTGCATGCATCTTCCTGTGCGAAGAAAAGCGGTTGCACAAAACGGTTGGCGACACACAGGCTATCACTGAATAATTATGCTGTTATGTTAATTATGTTAATTATGTTGTTAACCGTTTTCACACGAGTCGTAAGTTAAAGTTAATTAAGAACGTTTAACAAGGTTTACAAGAGCGCGAATTTTGCAAGGTTCAGTTCAGTTCAGTTCAGTTTATTTAGCCAAAAATAAATTACAAAACAAGAATACATATTAGAATTGTAAGTTGGCAAGGGAGCCCGGAAGAAACCAGACAGGTTTATGAAGCCTGGACTCCCCAGTCACAAAGAAATAAGTAAAGTGAAAATTCGCGGACAGAAATGTATTAAAAATACATGTAGTAACGAAAAACTAAACAAAGACTAATTTAAGTTAAGAATTCAATAACAGGAAAGAAGAAAGTTTTTAACTTTTTTAGAATATCAGGAGGGGGCATCACAAATGAAAGCACTCAGCTTATTAAAGAAAAGAGGACCTTGATAAAAAAAGAAAAAACAGAAAACTTTCTTATGTTGGTACGGCAGAAAGGAATATAAAATTTTTTTGAACTACGCGTGTTGTAACCATGAACTTGATTAGTACGTAAAATGGATCTGGAAAAACTGGAAGGAACTGAGTTATTTTTTAAAGAAAACATAAATTTCCCGAGAAGCAGAGAATAGATGTCTTCTATTTTAAGGATCATAAGACTCTTAAATAGTGGATTAGTGTGAGCGTCGAAGCTCTTCTTGCTGATAATTCTAATAATGCGCTTTTGCAACAAGACTAGGCGCCTAAGGTGGGTAGGGTATGTCGAACCCCACACTAAAATGCAATATTGAAGATAAGAATAAACAAGTGAATAGTATAAAGTACACAAACCTGTCCTAGTAAGGCAAAAACTAGATTTACGAATAACGCTCACAGACTTGGAGAATGCGCTCACAACCTGAGAAATATGGGGTTTCCATGACAGTGTCTCATCTAGAATAACACCAAGAAAATTAACTTCCTTAACTTGGTTCATCTTAAAACCATCCATCTCAGTACTTAGGGTGAGTTCATTTCTTCTCTGTCTCGGTTTAAAAATTATGTAATTTGACTTTTGCATATTAAGAGAGAGCTTGTTAGCTTTGAACCAATCAGATAACTTGATCGTTTCAGAATTAACCAAGTTCTTTAAAGTAGTAGTAAGAGTCAAAATGAGAAAAGAATAAGTTTGTATCATCAGCAAATGAAACCAGATCATATATATTTGAAATCTGACACAAATCATTGATATAAATTAAGACGAATAAGGGACCGAGGACAGAACCCTGGGGAACACCACACGAAATTTCATGAAATGAAGACGATATACCGTTAAATTCTACGTATTGATGCCTATTATAAAGGTAGCATTTAATCCACTCTAGGGCAATATCGCCAATCCCAAAGTGCTCGAGCTTATCGAGTAGAATACGATGGTTAACGGTAACAAAAGCTTTAGATATAAGTCAAGAAAAATTCCTAGTGTATGTTTCCTCTCATCAATAGCTGAAGTGATCTTGTCATGCAGGTATAATAAGGCTAGCGAAGTTGAATGTTTCTTTCTAAAACCATATTGATTATTGTATAAAATCTCATACTTATCAAAAAAGCGAATTAAGCGATTATAGACAACTTTTTCTAGAAACTTTGAAAAGACTGGTAAGACTGATACAGGTCTATAATTAGAAAGTAAACTTTTATCGCCAGACTTATATATATAAAGGAACCACACGAGCCAATTTCATTTGAGCAGGGACAATACCTGAGTTAATTGATAGATTCAAAACTTATGTCAAAGGCTCAGAAATATAGTTAATAGACTCTTTAACAGACCACATAGGTATCTTATCATGGTCAGCCGCAGTATTAAGACGGAGAGAATTAGCTGTTTCAACAATTTCAGATTGCGTAGTAGATTCAAGGAAAAAAGAATTATGTAAGCGATCTGGTAGAAAAGACTTATGTGTTCTAATTGAACTGGGTATTTTTTTAGCGAGTGTAGGCTCCAGATTGGTAAAAAAGTTGCAAAACTGATTAGCTATTAGACTGGGATCTGAAATCTCCAGATTATTGATGGTGAATGTGGAGGGTAATTTACTAGAACGATGATTTTTATTTATTATCTGATTTTGAATCTTCCAGGTACCTTTGGCATTCTTTTTCAACGATTCAAGTTTTTCTTTATAGTAGAGAGATTTAGCTAGACGTAGAGGGTGGTGCGATTTGTTCCTGTATTTTTTGTAATTTTCCTCATTCGTTGGAGTAGGAAAATTTAAGAATTTTTTATACAATTTGTACTTCTTCTTAATGGATTTTAGCAGGCCCGCTGACAGCCACGGTCTTTTAAACGCATGCTTCGATGCCTTCACTTTTTAAGGGAAAGGAGGAATTGTAAATATCAAAGTATTTGCTAAGAAAACTATCATAAGCAATATTTGCATCGTTCTCATTATAAACACTTTGCTAATCAGTATTCTTTAAGGAATCATGGAAGGTTCAAAACAGTTGCACTGTATTACCGAGACAGTTAAAGCATAAGGCCATCTTCTTTTTTTTTTTCCGTTTAGCGTCGTCCGACCGACCCAAATTTTTGGCATTTTCAAAAAAAAGAAAAGTAACGAGGTAGTTAAACCATTTTTCACTTGAGATAATTCTTTTAATCTGAAAAATGAGCATAGCAACAGCATAGAGAAAAACAGGAACAAAAACGTGAACGTTTTTCACAGTATATTGTACATTTTGTTAATCCAAATATGTGAATGTTAACTTTTAACGTCGTCCTGGGGTACCAGGGCCTCCTATTTTGAGACTTCTTGTGAATTTTTTGTTTGTTTGTTTTTTTCAATCCGACCGACCGACCCAATATCAGGAAACGCATTCGATGCTAAACGGAAAAAAGGGGAGGGCCTAATAAAGAACAACATAAGCAAAAGCGATGCATGTAGAACAGAATCGATCAACGACGGGTCGACGAGAGATGAGCAGGTTAAAAGAAATATATCCATAGTGTCTCGATCAATCCGTGCTCATCATTTGTTAAGAGAAACTTTAGTGTGAATACTAAGCTATATTAATACGTCGAACATTGTACAAAAGAAATAAAGAAAATAAAGAGATAAGAAAAAAGAGGGGATTTTATCTCCTGTGTTGGTCTGAAAGAAGGAAAATAACTTTTCTGTGGTCTTAAAAATTCTACCCGCTTATTAATAGGGACACTTTCTATGGCCTCCTAAATGTCCGTAGTAACGGGGTTTGACTGAACATCGCTGGTGAGTCCACATTAGAATATGCACGTGCAGCGTAGGACCCCCACTGGAAATACCAAAACATCCACGATAAAGGTATCAGCTCCGTTGCTTCACATTTGACCGAATCATTAAAAACTGAACGCCCTAAGCAAAGCGCGGACGAGTCCACACGCCAACAACTTGTTGTTTGCTCTCATAAAGAACGACATTTTACAAGCATCAATTAGCACTTAGAGTCTTCGTCTTTGTTATTTTCCAAATTTACAACGGAAATCTTCCTTGGAGCTGAAAATCAAAGAAACCGTAAATGAAGAATGCTTCGCGCGTTTGAGAAGTTCCCTATTGTACTTTGCCTTTATAACACTTAGAGTGTTTGTCGAATGTTGGCAGAAATCTTCCACTGTCAACCTCATTTCTTTAATTATCTTTTCTTTATGAACCGATACACCTGTATGAAGTTTCAGGGACAAGCAACAGCTGAAGCAAGCTCTCCTATTTGGGCGAGCGGCGAAGCCGCGAGGGGCCAAGGAGAGGAGAGCTTGCAACGATCTCTCATAAATTTTCATTTGTTATTCGCCCAGACAAATGTCAAATGGAATACCATTGGCTGAAAAAAGGACGTTCCAGAAATCAAACTTGATTGATAGCAGTCCTGGATGGCATCCCCTAAATTTTCGCGAGAAACGTAGAAACACGATGCTCTTATCTCTAAAACCCGTGTAATGTCGACGATCGCTGAACCCACTCCGAAAAGAAGACCGGCAGATAGACTACGAGCAGTCTCTTATTTTTCTTTGCAAAGTTACTGCACGAGAAACCCAGGCACGTGACGAGGGAAAAAGCAGACTGCAAGCAGTCTAACCTGCAGAGGAAGAAAATCGCTTTCTTCTTCTGTGGGAGATAACTGTCGTCTGTGTGTCAAAATTGGTTCTCAGGGGGATCAGATTGGAACCGAGAACTTGTTTCAGCCCTCAAAGCAGACGTTTGATGGGATTCTCGCATTTGAAAACTGTACTTGTGAAAGTGTTGGATCATTGCCAGTAGAATATCGCAAGGATTTTTAGTTATTGTGAAAGGAAAATCAAAACCCTTCATCAGTTGTGTTCCTTTGTGTCAAGCGCCTTGTTTATTTCTGAAAAGGAGAAGGATGAAAGTGCCAACGTCGGTTTCTTCGCCCGATTGAATTCCACTGGGAAGAAAAATTCAGAAACATGTACATGACAGTGTAGCTGTGAAGCTTGACCGTCAAGAAGGACAAGAGAAAGAGTAGGAAGTAACCGGAGTAAAACGTAAGAGAACCAAGTCCAGAAAAACGCTGTTCTCCAGTTCCGAAAAGGACAATTATATGATGTTGGTGATTGCCTCGGGGACCTTAGTCTTGTGATTGTATTGAGTTGTTATCCTAGCAGACACGTCGAAGTTAACGATGTCCTGTAGTTAAAAAACATAATCAGTGATCAAAAACATCTGTGGCAAAAGCGATTTAAATAAATAAATTCTACGCGCCCTCGGCTGTCTAAACTTGACAGGCGGTTGTCGCTTTACTAATCTGCGGCACGTTCGCGGTGACAGTTTTCACGCTTTGTAGTATCCCGGGGTTTCTGGGGTGGAAATGAAAATTTGTGAGTGATCGCTGCAAACTCTCCTTTCTCTCCCCCTGCCCCCGCTTTCGCGTCTCCTCTCGCGTGTCTCTCTCACGTCTACTTTTCACGATATCCCCCAAGTGGACAGCTTTCTCGCAGGCTATATAAAGTACTACAATCTA